GGAGCGGGTGCAGCGGTGGGCGCTGGAGCTGGTGTTGGTGCATCCGTCGGAGCGGGTGCAGCGGTGGTAGTGGTTGGCTCTGGGGTGGTTTCCTCGGCGAGGAGGAGTTCAAACAGAGCGTCGGCGTCTGCGTTGCCGATCGAGTCGGCCGTGTCAAGCGCGGCCAAGGCCGACGCCACGACAGCGGCAAACATACATGCAGCGACGCGCATGTGGGTTGTCTGGAGATTCCAATTCAATACTGGAAGAGGCGAGACTTTGCATTGTGAGACTTCTTTGACGCGATTCGCCAGATTGCACTTGGTGTTTGTATCGAGCGCACGCAATTAAATTAAATTCCCGCCATGTCGTGAGTAACCGAGCTGGCTTTCACGAATTGGGCCGCTCGGGCCGACGCTGTGGTCCAGTGGAATGCAGCGCCTCGTCGTCGGTCACGTGGGCGCGAGGGCACCTTGTGTCGCCTCCACGGTGCCGAGAAGTCCGCATCGTGTCGAATGCATGTCGTCTACTGCGTCTCTGCCCGATATGATGGTGTTTGGCATCCACCGGCCGCTGCCAAACGTATCACACAGCGTGCTACACGCGTCGGTGAGAACGCGCCCTTGTCGTGGGGTTGTAGCGAGCCGTCGTGGAAACAATGAGCACCAACTGACGCCAGGCCGACAAACCATGCCGAGCCCGATATCCCGTCACTGGAGATCATACCATCGTGGACAATCGAGCCCACCATGCGCCAGGACCTCCGGACCTAGCTCTTTCGCCATCGCAAACTCCACTGCGCTGTTCGCCATCGTCTCGAGCGTGTGAGTTCCCTCGTCGTGGGGGGAGGCGTCGCTGCGCGGCGAGCATTCGACTCGGTCGTGCAACATGGATTCGTTGAAGATGCCGCCGCGTATGTTCGCCGCGCGCCAATCTGTTCAAACTTGAAACGCCAGCGATTGAAACGTCGCGCTTGGATTGGCTAGAAAAAAAAATGTTCCCTGCTTGGATTGGGTTCGAGCAACGCGGGCCGTCCACGACGACGAAGGGAGCGGTGGCGGTGGGACTGAGGCCGGCCCCTCGTCGCCACAGCGGCTGTAGTTCGAGGCTCCTGCGCGATGGAAGCGTCATAGGAGCTATGGGGTTCCCACGAGTCCAGTCTCTCGAGTTGGCGTCGCAAGGGCTGGCGTCCTCGTGGCGTTGCAGGTATTCTCAAAATATCCTGAAAATTTTCATGAAATTTGAAAAAAGTAACATTTCCGACCTGACTGTGTCCTTGGACAACCAACAAACACACTTGGCGCGCGGTCGAGAGCAGTCGACATGGCGGCGGTCGAGTACTCGGTGCAACAGGTCGACAACTGCCGGTTCACGTCGTGGTACGACGAGTTGCGCGCCCACAGCATCCGCAGCATCTCGATCCCGGTTCCAGAAGAGTTTGTCGCGAGTTTGCTGGAAGACCGGATCTGTGCCCAAGAAGATTTGTACCCGGCGACGTTTGTCCGCGCTGTGAAGGACGGGATCGATCGATTGGGTGGACGTGTGTTTGTCAAGCTGGATTGGAGTAGTCCCAAGGACGCCAAGTGGATCATGGGCAACTCGCTGTGTTGCACGTCGTTCGAAGACGTGTTGACGTTGCTCAAGGCGTCCGACTTCATCGTGCACGACCTGACGCTCGCGTACGACGGATGCTACGACAAAGACGTTGTCGGGAAGACGCGCCCCGACACGTTCCATTTGGTGTTGAAGAAGTGGTGCAACTTTTTCGACTCGATGCACTTTCGGTGCTTTGTCGGCCGCCATTCGAAACTCCTTGGCATTTGCCAGCGCAACTGCACCCAAGTGTACGATTTCCTTGCGTCCGACTCAACCCAAGACGCGGTATGCGACGCGATCGAGACGTTCTTCGAGGCGCACTTGTCGACATCGTCCGTCCTCCCGGACCCCAACTACGTCTTTGACGTGTACGTTGACAAGGACCACAACGTGTACCTCCTCGACGTGAATGTGTTTGGCGCCGTGACGGATCCACTGCTGTTCACGTGGGACGAACTCCATCGCGCGCTCGTCGCAGACGAAGACAGACACGGCGTCGATTTTCGCGTCGCAACGCCCGAGAGTGCCGCCAGATTTGCAGATCCGTACGGCCAGTACCGCGTGCCGGTGGATTTGGTACATCATTTGGCCCAACCGGGTGGGTTCGATGACTTTATTCGCCAAGTTGCTCACGACAACATACAACGTCCCAACGGCGACGACGATGCGTCGGACGACGACGGGTCGTGGTCGGACCAAGATGCAGCGTCAACCTATTGAGCCACTTCGGGGCGCCGTTGATGCGTCTTGAACAGGCTGCTATCGCCTGTGTTGGCATGGCGTGCATGGGCCGATTCGTTTGGTCCAGGAACGACGAGCGCTGCAACCCGTCCATGCGTACAAGCAATAAAATGGAGGGACTTCGAGATATGCTCAAGAGGTTATGTCTGAATAAATAGATCATTCGCCCAACGCCGCGAGCGTTTGCCGTTTGTGCTGGATGAGACGTTGGATGACCCCGAGCACTTTTACTTGCGACTCGTTGAGGCTGCCACACGATGGATCGTCGAGGGCACGGCGCTTGTCGAAGGCGAGCTGCCGTCGCATCCTGCTCGGTTGGACCTTGACCTTGGGAGGCGAGATGACATTCTTCCGCTTGGGCGCCACCTGGTACGGCTTGCCAGCAGCACTGGTCGTGGTGGGCACTGGATGTGCTGTGCTCGTCTTGGCTCTGGTGGTGCTGCCGTGCTTGTCATCGACGGGTGGACCTCCACTTGACACTGCCACGCGCTCAAACAAGGTCATGTAGCCGGGGTAGTCGGTCAGTTGGTGCTGCAGGTCGGTCTTTTGCCGCGCGTGCTTGTCCCCTTTCAACTTTGGTACTGCAGACGCTTGGCGCAAGCTCTTGGGGCAATACCCTGCATGAACTCGTGGATGCGCCGTCGGAGGGGACGGTGGTGCCGTTGGTGTGTCTGCCATCGAAAAGCATTTCAACTACACGAATGGCATCCTCAGTCACACTGCCACCGCGACGACCTCCCTCGCAAGCAGATTATCTCACCGTGTTGACCACCATCGCCGCGTCGGCGTCGTCCGTGCCATCGTGGCTGCTGCCTGTCCGGAAGCAATGCGCGCTCGGCTTTCTCTTGGCGGACGGAACGCCGTGGGCTTTTGCTTGCATGCACCGAAACTGCTTTCGAGCATCGTACATGTGCGCTGTGGGGATGTGTCAAACGACGCTTCGGTGTGCCCAGCGACCGTACCATAGGACGATGTGTCTTTGCCGACGGCGCATCGATAGTGCTGTCGGCTTTGTCTAGCCACCTCGACAAGTGTCAGCGAATGGATAGCCACGAGCGATGGTTGAAAAGCACACCGTCGGCCATCCAGCAAGGACACTTGCGGAACCTGTCGGGAATTGTCTGGTGAGTCACAACGTCGGCATGTCCAACGCGCCGTACGAGGTCGAGGAGGCACACCCGGTAGTCGGGTGTGGAAGCAATGGGGTTACCCTGCAGGACCAGGTCAGGCAAAGGCATCGCAGACGAGTTAGCTGTGGTGTTGGCAGACCTGGAGAAGAAGCGTCGAGAGCATCGTGTTCAGCGATAGCGATCGGATTGCATCTGGCCTGGAGGCAAAATGCTTGGTGACAAAGGAATGCGGGAGAGGTCCATCAATGAGCGTGGCGTACTGTGCAACGACGTTGTCGGACATGTCAAGACGCTCGAGGTGCTTGAGGTTCTCGATGCCTTTCGTGCTGGACAACCTAGCGTGCGCCACCGTGAGTTGGCGCGAACGGCGGCCATGACATGGTCAAACCGATTGCCTCGCAACGCCACGTTGACAAGCGCTGTGCAAAACATGAGTGGCTCGACGTCTACGAGTCGGTTAAAGCTCAAGTCGACGACTCTAAACCGCGACAGAGAAGATATCAAGCTTGTGCATGGTGGGATTTGTGCCGTGCACACGCACTGGAGGTGGGTGAGGTATGCCACAGCTGCTAGCGACACTAGGCGGTTCACCGACAAGTTCACCATCGTGACGCAAGGACAGCGTATGCGAGGGCAAACGTCTACGACCCGATCAGTACAAACACGCCATTGCAACCCACACAACCGAGGCAATTCTGGCTGAGGTCGACAGACGTAGCATGTGGAAACGCTTTCAGAGCGCGGTCAGCCGACTCCGACGTTAGTCCGCGTTCCTGAGCAACGGGTCGTCAATCCATCGAGTCGGAACGATCGAATGTCGTTGTGCCTGGCCTACCGACAAATTGCAGTGGAAAGCTGTAAAGGCGCCATCACTGTCTTGGGCACTGTGGTCATGCACCAGCCGAGGATTCGTCGCCATCATGTCCGATCCGTTAAAGTGTGGATCCGGTGAACCGACGCGGCCGGATACATCCGGACACCGTTATATCCGACATGCGGACGTCCGTCGACGCCATGGTGCGGCGGTTGGAGTCCCAAGTCGAGGATGCCAAGTGAGCCGGCTTGTGTCTGAATGGCCATGCGTGACGCAACGTGTGCTTAGGAACGAACTGGCGATGCTCAGGATGACACGGACGAGCAACGCTCAAGATAACAACTCGAGGGAAGCCCTTCACGACGGCCCTGAAAACGTTATCGCGGCCAAGGCAATGTCAGATGCGAGACGTGATGGTGGCTGCATGTGCTCCATAGAGTTGCAGATTGAGACCTGTCCAAGTCCCGAGTCATCGGAAGCCACACCTGACGATGGCTGGGCGAATATCGCGACGGACAACATACGACCAACCCAGACATGGAGTGCAGACGTGCGTTGCAGGAATTTTGCATTGACCGATCCTCATGGCCGCATGGACAGAAACAACTCAGCAATGAGCGAATTCGACGCATCGAGCTGGAAAACTCGCAACTGAAGCGGGAAAAGGCCGAGCTGGGTACGTATCCAAGCGTCAGAGCCGTGGTACACAACGGCCACCGCTCGTCGCGGTAGTGTCATTGTTGCAGAGCTCTCGCCAAGACATGGAACAGTGTCGTGCGAAGTTGCGAGAACTCACGGCACTCCACGAAAAGGTCCACCACTCTCAGAGAGCACGGAGTTTGCTGCTCACCTTGAGTCTAGGAAATGCACAGGTCGAGGCTTCAAGCGTTGGCACTCAAAATGCTGCAGGTACACGTTTCATGGCCTAACGTCATTCCGATCGATCGCGAGCTGAACAATGCTTTCCGCACCGGCTAGGATGAATTGCAAGCCGATGGGTTGTAGTACCGCCCCATTGCGTCCATTGACCGATAGCGTAAAAGCCCTCGGGTAGAGCCACCGCGGCTCTCTGTTGCAAGCAGCCGCTTCCCAACAAAGTTGGAGCGTTTACTATTACTATTAGTAGAGATGTCGTTACGAATACTATGGAAGCAGTCTCGAATGATGTACTTCTTGACAGAAATGAAATACGGCGCTCTACAACTGCTACGTTCCATGGCACACAACATGCGTGAGGACGTATGTCGCCGTTCTCGACGCTGGGTTTCTTGCGCGAGCTACGAAGACGCATGGTCGTGGTGGTACATCCAACGTCGAGAGATGTAGTATTACTACATTGAGGTCATGTTCCCTCAGTCGTCTAGTATTACTATACAATTTTGCATCACAGAACGAAATCGCTCCCCAATTATTAGCAAATTGACATTTCCTTTCATTTCAGTATGTGATAATTTGGAAAATGATAACTAATTTGAACAAGATTCCAGACAGGTGGGTGAAATATTGCCGATGGTAGTAGACGTGGCTGCGGAACAGTAGTAATAGTGGATTTGCTCGACACACCGCATGATCTGCGGCGCAGAAGCCCCGAGGTTCCCGCCGAGTCCAGGGGAAAGCGAGTTGATCCAGTCCATTCTACGCACATGGGAGCGTGTCAGCGAACGTGCTGACGACGCATCGATCAGTGGGGCGGTGGTCACGGAGACTGCTGCCGCCCCGTCAACCGTCGTACGGTCCACGTTAGAATCGTTTCTCCATGAACTTGAACAAACGACGGATTGGCCGTTTGAAGGACTGGCAGACTTGTTGAACTATGGCGCACTCCTCCATGCCTTTCACGTTGTTCTGGGGGAGCTGACCAGAGCAGACGGTGGTGCCAACTCCCTACTGCTCCCCTCCGAAACACGACACGACGACGCCGTGCCCACGGCCCCACGATTTGCATGGGACTTGTCCGACCGAGAACGCTTGGCCTACCAAATACTGCGCTGGACGGCAATTCTACTCGAGAACTCAATCAACAAGCACAAGTATCCTTCCTTAAACCACGTGACATCTCTGGTCGCATCCACGAGCGAACGGGTGAGCCTCGAGGCTATCAAGGTGGTGGCCATGCTTTCCTTGCCTCCTCTCTCACATCGCGACCTCATCGACTCGCACAGTCAAGCGGACTCTATTCTCACAGGCACGGTTACCTTGAAGAAGCGACTGCTCGTTGTGGCCGACACGTGTGGTCCGGGGAGTCTGGCCATGTCTATGGCGGATTACGTCGATGAGAGCGCGGCGAAGGACCTTCCAACTGACTTGCGTGTGTACCAGTACTACCGGTTTGACAATGATGTGGAGGACAGCGTGCTCGTGTCCATCGAAGTCCCCCGCTTCACCGGCTCGAGTGACACGGACGCATGGTCCCGAGCAACGTTTGCTTCGCTCGTCGAGCAGTTCCATGTCCCGCCAAAGCACCATTTCAAATTGCTATGCTGCGTTCGGTCCATTGCGTGGCGTCACCATCGGCGATCTCGTGTTGCGTCGATGGTGGCGCGACTGCACTCGTTCGTGGCGCTCTTTACACTGTTTGAGGACTCGCACGACGTGGTGCAGTACCTCGAAGAGCACCCGGGCCTCGTCGCGTCCATCTTGGAACTGGTCCGCAGCCTGGACGAAACAATGGACGGCCGGGCAGCGATCCCCCTCACGGTGCAAGTGGCGGCGCTGCAAGTGCTGACGGCACTCGTCAACGACAAGCGGTCGCGTGGGGTGGGAGTATTGAGTCGCCAGTCGGGTATCCTCGCGGCTCTTGGTGTCGGCCGGGGCGCTTCGCCTGGTCCGTTTGTCTCGATTGTCCGGAGTTGCATGAGCGGCTTGGTGTTTGAAGGCAAAGCAGGTCCCACCAGTCCATCCGACATGGATCTTGCAGTTGCGTTTGTGGAGGCAACCACGCCATCCCTTGTGGCCGCCGGTCCATTTCGAGATCTCTCGAGCCCCCACGATCGCCACTTGTCGTGGGTCGAAAGCGTCCTCCGGCTGATTTGCCCTCTTGTGGGCCTGCAAGCCGGCGCGTCGTCGTTGACGGAATGCGGCATCGTTCCAAGTCTGTTGCGGGCGATTGCGAGTCCGTCGACGAGCCCGCTGCACACGTCTGTGCTTGTTCAGTGCATCCAAGCGCTGGAACTCACGTTGAACAACCACTCCGCCGCCGCCGTCTTGTTTCGCGAGTTGAACGGCGCGTCGATTTTGGTCGATCGGTTGGCGGTCGAAGTCTACTCGCCGCACACTCTAACCGACACGAAGCGCGTGCTCGTGGTTTCACTGCTCAACATGCTGTCAGTGTCGTTCCATACACAAGGCATTATGAGTGCCGGCACCGCCCCCCGCTTTATCCGAGAAGACGCGGTGTTGAACTCGGTGCTCGATCGGGTCCTGCGCCACGTCGACGTGTACGGCACCGTCGTGTACTCGCAAGCCGCGACGCTCGTGGCGGACATTATCAACAACGACCCAACGTGTGTCCACCACGTGCACTCGACTGGTCTGGCCGACGCCATCCTCGACACGATTTGTCGGTGGGACCTCCATGGATTGGCGGCGGCGACGAATTACCTGCCGCCCGGGCCCGAGCTCATCATGGCGATTCCGACTGTCCTGTCGTCGCTGTGCATATCGAGTACGTACGTGGACAAGGTCGCCGGGTATGAGCCGATGGCGTACCTCTTGGACATGTTTACGTTGCCGAGTTATGTGGACGAGATTGACTTTTTGCAGGGGGACGTGGCGTCGATTGTCGCGACGGGGTTGGACGAACTCATGCGCCATGTGCCGACCATGGCCCGGTTTACGATTGAAGCATGCACGCGTGCGCTGAAAAAGGTCGCAGCCCTGCAGCTTTGCTCCACCGGCGCGCCGCCCTTTACCACGTTGCTGCGACTGACCATGCACTTGTGCGACGTGTTGGAGCCTGTCTTGTCCAAGGTGGAGCTGGCCACGCGATTTGCCGACAATGGAGGCGTCGACGCGCTGTTTGACTTGTACGGGCGCGTCTTGCCTCCGCCATCAATGTATTTGTCGTCCAAGTACAACGAATCGTCCCCGTTGCCTCATTACCCGACGTCGCAGAGCATTACGATGGCGGCGCGCGCGTACACGTCGCAGCAGCCCGCCGCGATGTTGACCAAGGTGATGGCGCACTTGACTTTGCAACTCCAGTATGTGGACGCGGTCCGGCCGAAAGGAGCGGTGGGGGTGGTGTCGAGTGTAGTTCCTGATATCCCCAACGTGAAGGAAGACGAGCACGGCGACCTCGTGCGACCAAGCGGCGAGTATTTGCGGCTCCTCGCTCATGTCGAGTGGCTCGTGTCGCTGTTGGTGTGGACGATTCGCACGGGTCTGACGAGCAAGTCGCCGACTCCTCGGTGGATGGCGGAGTTTACGTCTAGCCAGGCCACGCTCGCCCGGTTGTTTTCGTTGGATGGCACGGTGCAAATGGAGCGCATGCAGCTGGAAGAACAGCTTGACGCAGTTGGCGCTCCCGACGGCGGCGGCGGTGGGAGCTTGTGGAAGGTCGGAAGCCTCTTGATGTTGAAGTTTTCGTTGATGGTGCGCAATTTGTTGTGCAAGTACGCCCGGGCGATGGCAACCCAGTCGTCGTCGGCCCTCATCGACACGGATTCCGTGGTGGGTCTCGAGTCGATCGTGCACGTGGTGCAGTCCAACTTGGCGACGATTCTCCCGACGAACCAACGCTACGTGCGCCACGGTGCTCTCATGTACTTGGTGGAAACCATCACGACGATGCAGTTTGAAGGAAAGCGGGGCACGGTCGTCAACGTGCCGCTGGCCAAAGCGTTTGTCGAGTCGAAAGTCCTGGAGCGCGTGGTGCAGGCGCTTTCGATTGCAGTCGTCGACGTCCTGACGTCGTCGTTGGATGGGCCGTCGAAGCAGGACGTTCGACTGTGTCAGACTGGCGCGGTCCTCTTGCGCAATTTGGCCGATGTGCAGTCGCTGGCGGCCTCCAAGTCGATGGTGAAAATGTTGTCGAGCGAAAAGCATGTCGACAGTCTCAAGGTTGCCTTCCATGCCATCACGATCGACGCCGTGCTCAACATTTGGACCCATCCGAGGTTGCCCCACGCTGGCAAAGTCATTTCGGCCGTCGTGCCTGTGATTGCGACGCTGTTGAAACAACAATTGGGCAAGGATGGCAAAAGCGCTGCGGCAGGTGGACCGCCGACCCCCACCGAAATGCAACTTGATCCTGACGTTGTGTCCAACTTGGAAATGATGGGCTTTACGCGCACTCATGTGGAGCTCGCGTTGCGTCAAGTTGGGGAAAACGACGTGTCGATGGCCATGGAATGGCTCCTCGAGCACCCCGAACTCGAATTTGTGGGGCAGCGACTACAAGAGCAAGCAGCTGCCGCGTCGCCCAGCCACTCAGATGCCGCGCCAACGTACGCGGCGCTGCGAGCCACGTTGGAAACGGTACCGTTGGCGATTGTGTCGTTGCCGCAAAGCGAGACTGTCGTTCGGTCGCTGGCCGATCTGTTGGTCCTGCAATGCTCGCTGTCGGCGGACGACCGGGTCCAAATCGTTCAAAGTTTTGAGAAGCACATACTCACGTCCACGTCGTTGGGCGCGTTGACGTCGGTGGCACACGTGCTGGCGCTGGTTCTGCATGGTGATGTGATGTCGCGCTCGGTGCTCTTGTCACAAACAAGCGCGACCGTGAAGCAGCTCGTGCAGGTGATCGTGGACCAGTCGTCCCGTTGTCCCATCGATGAGCCCGTGCATGAATGTGTCTCGCCCACCTTGCTCGTGTTGGATGCGTTGGTCCAAGAATCGAGCGATGCCGACAGCGGTCTCGACAAGCAATTCAAGGAGCAACTCGTCGACAGCTGCGCGTCCCTGATGAAGCGGCCGGCGCTGACAGCCAGCGTCGGCCACGCACTGTGGCAAGTGGTGGTCCATCTCACGCGCGACTTGGACCTGGTGGACCGATTTGTCGCGATGGAAGGAGTCGAAGCATGCATTAACACCCCGTGCGTCTTTGACGGGTACAAGGAGCTCACGTCTGTGATTTTATCGCACGTATTGGAATATCCCGAAGTGCTTCAAGCCCGAATGGAGGAGAAGATTGTCCAGAGCATGAAAAAGTTGTCGCTGCGTTTAGGCGCGGGCGGCATCACGTCGGGGAGCTTGCATGAACCGCCAACGACGCGCATTTTACCGCGCAATTTGCTCTCGGAACTTGGCGTCGTCGCCATGCGCGACGAGAAGCTGTTTTTGTCGGCATTGAAAGAAACAGTCGAGGTCAAAAAAAGCAACTCTGGACGGGTGTACGTGCAGCTCAAGGAACGTGACGACCTGAACACGGTCGGGTCGAAGAAATTGACGCAATTGCCGATTCCGAACGCGTCCAAGATTATCGCGCTGATTGTGCGCCGCATCGAGGCGCTGTGGGCCACGAAAGACGCGGCCACTGCCACGTACTTGTCGTTTCTCGTGTACCTCGTCACGATTTTTCGAGTGTCGTGCGGCGCGGCGCTCGGGACGGAGCACGGGTCGTTTCTGGCGTTGGTCGTGCGGGAGATGCTTCCATACCACGAACTTGTGCGTGTATTGGCGACGAAAACGTCGACCGATGCGGACACACCGGCCGCCGCCGCCGCCACGACCAAGCAACTTGGAAAGAATCGAGTGCAGCAAGCGCATCGCTTGCTGGTTCGCCTCAGTGCCCACGAAGGGTGCAAGAAGATCGTGCTGGACGTTTCCACCCTGTTGGAAGGGTGGACGCGACAAGACTATAGCAACAAGACGTACGCGCTGACGTGCCTGCATGCGTGGTGTGCGCTGCTCATGAGTGTTTTATGGCCTCGTGAGGACAAGGACAAAATGTGGGACCATACCAAGGCGTTGCTGGGCAAGAAGGACATGGTAGCGATCTTGTTTGAAGCGCTTCGGCACTTGGACTTGTCGCATCCGTTGGCTCGGTCAACGTGCACGATGGTGCTGCGTCCGTTGGCAGCATTGACACGTCCGTGGGTCGCGCATCGCCTGAAAAAGGCACAACGAAAGCAATCGTCGGCGGCGGCGGCGGCGTTAGTCGCTTCGACGGACCATGCGGGGCCGCGCGACGATGCATCCACAAGACAGCGCGAGTCGAGCGTCGAACTGGAAGACATTCGCATGTCGCACCCGGACGACGAAGACGACGTGGAAGAGGACGACGACAGCAGCGACTCGTCGGAAAATGACGAAGAAGAAGAAGAAGAAGATGGAGAGGACGATGACGATGACGATGACGAAGAAGAAGAAGAGGATGGGGACGAAGAGGACGACGAGGACGCGGCCGCGGAGTTGCTGCACCCCATGGACGACGACGACGATGTCCAGAGTGACAATCACAATCCGTTGTGGGATGCTCTGGACGCCGATGTCGCAGTGTTGAGCGAGGACTGTATCGATGGGACGACGGACAGCGGCACTCGGACCAACTCGCAACATGGACGCGATGACCCGCGGTCCCTCTTTGACTTGTTTGCATATCACCACGAGCCGTCTGGAGGTCACCGGCACGCATTGCATGGTCGCCACCAGCCGCCGCCGCCGTGGAGCAGCATTTTTCGGGAATTTGAACAAGATTTGTCGAGTGGCGTTGGTGCGTTTGCCGACGACGACGCATTTGAAGTGCGCGACGTGAACGACGACATGGAGAACGACGACGACGACGTGTTTGCGATGCCGTTTGACGTGTTGGAGCGAGTGAATTCGTTGCGATGTAAGTGTTGGCATATCGAAACAACGTGGCGACGTGTGACGGTGTGTGTGTTGTAGTAGGCGCACACCGGCACGGTGCAACCGCGTCGTCGGGGCAAACCAACACGTCGGTGGCTGGGCTCACGCATCCTTTGCTGGCGCGGGACGCGCGTCGAGATGGCGGCCATCGACCTCCCAGTCGCCATCACCACCACCACGTGTACTCGATGCACTTGCCATCTCGTCGGACAGTGGACCGATCGTGGGCCGACATGGGCGGCACGGATCGGCCACCATCGCTGTGGCCCCACGACTCGCATTCGCACGTCCGCCAGGTGGTCGAGCGCATGGAAAACGAACTGCACGAACTGTTGAGCCCAGATGTGGACAGCACGGTGCAGGACGACGCGTCTGTGGCGGTTCAAGTGTTGGCGAGCACGTTGGGCGGGTCGTCGTTGCAGACTCCACCCGACACAACGATCGCATCGAGCTCGCCAGTCGACGACACTTTCCAGGCTGCATCGTCTGAACCTGCAACGCCGCCGCCGCCACCCATTGCAACCACGCAACAAGATGGCGCCTTCCCTGCTGCAGTCTCGTCACAGTCCGCGCCTGCCGACGCATCGCTTTTCAATTTCACCCTTGACCTGCAGCATTTGTCGTCGACCGTACCTCCGCCAGCACCTGCGGCAACCGCGCGCACGGAATCGCCTGCATCCACGCCGCCGCCATTGGTGTGTCCCGACGGCATGGACCCCGACGTGTTTCATTCCTTGCCTCCTGATATGCAAGCAGAAGTTGTCGCGGCCCACCCGCCGCCGCCGCCTCCCCCTGCCGGTGCGTCGTCGTCCGCCGATGGGTTCCAATCGAGCTATGACCCAGAAACGCTGGATGCGTTGCCTGCCGACATTCGAGAGGAAATCCTGGCGAGTGAGCGGCGCGAGTGGGAGCAGGCGAGAGCCCCGCCGCCAGACATTTCGCTGGCTCAGGAGATGGACAATGCATCGTTTGTCGCGTCGCTCGCGCCCGAGCTGCGCGAAGAGATTTTGGTCACGTCGGACGATGCGTTTTTGCAAACCCTTCCGTCGTCTGTCCGTGCGGAAGCCATGATTCTGCGTGAACGCGCCGTGTACCGAGCGGCGCAAGCGCAGACGCGCATCAGTCAGCAACGGGCCACCATGGACGATCCAGCAGGTCACTTTTTCCAGCGCCCCCGACTTCGACGCATGTCGACCAGACATGGAAATGATTTTGGCGGGACAACGTCGTCGCGCCGCCACGTGGCAAGACGTAGCGACGGGCGCCACGTGGCGGCATCTGTCGACGACGCGTCAAAGCACGGGCTGGTGCAAGTGGACAAGGAAGATGCTGGCACACCCGATCATTTGGCCAGCATCTCGGAACCTGCGATTCAGGATTTGTTCAAAGTGCTGCACATGTCGCAGTCGGTGGGCAAGCACCCCCACCGCGTGGTGCAAACCGTCTTGTCCAATTGCTGCCAATACCCCGTGCTGCGGGCATGGATTCGAACCAACTTGTTTTATGTCTTGACCGGGACGGCCACCAACCGCTCGTTTCCTCCATCCAGCGTGATTGGATGTGGCACCGTCGTCGCGGACCGCGGTGGGGTTTTTCCCGACGTGATGGCGCGGGCGCTAGCGGTGCTGGTCGCGCTGACGAGTGAACACGTCCGACTCCGGGTCGATATTTTGCACACGAACGGGTTGGGGCAGCTGCTCGAGCTGCTCGAGTCGCGAGATGTGAGCCGGAATGCCAATCATGTCGACATGCTGCTCGAGGCGGTGGAGAACGTGGCCAGTCCATTGAGTCGACTGGCCCCGCCTCCTCCTCCTCCTCCATCGAACGAGTCCAAGCCGGAATCGGACGATACCGTGACCGAATGGATTCCCGTGCCGTCGGTCGTGCTGACCGCCGCGGAAATGAGCCATTTGGTGTCTGTGTTGGCCTTGGATATGTGCACGACCTCGATGCAATCTCGCGTGTTGAGCATCTTGCGGCTGCTCTCGACGACGAATCGTTTGTGCACGTTGGATACGCTGGTCGAGTGGTGTGCGCGGTTGATTGCGAGCCCCGCGCCGAGAAAGACGCAAGCGGCCGCGGTGCTGCCCAGTCCCCAGGACGAAGTCAAGTTGCTACGGTTGCTGCACACCCTGTCCGACTTGTCGGAGACGACGGACCAGTTTACGGACTATGTCCAAACGCGGTTGAATCTCATGCCTGTGTGGGAAGCGCTGAGCAAGGCGCTGGAGGACGCGCGTGCGGTGGAAGGGTGGTCGGATAAACTAGACGAGTCGAACGGACCGCCGAATAATGCCGGCACGATCATTGAAGGCAAGAGCGCCGGCGCGTCGTGTGCCATGGGCGCCTTGTTGACGCGGTTTTTGCCCATGATTGAAGCGTTTTTTGTCGTGAATGCGCGCGACGCGGCCAGCATGACGCTCGCCCCGCCAAGCACGGACGAGGACCGCACGGACACCCACGCGGCGCTGCTGGCCACGTTTGTCGAGGCCAACCGCGTGCTGCTCAACATGTTGATTCGTGAAAAGCCGTCGCTGCTCGACAACTCTTTGGCGGCGCTGATCAAAATTCCTCGCTGCCGCGCGTTTGTCGACTTTGACAACAAACGCACGTACTTTCAAGCGTCGATGAAGCGTCTGCGCCACGCGTCGATGCGTCCGGGGGGCGGTGGAGCGTCGGTGCGTCTGCCGGTGCGCCGCGATCGAGTGTTTGAAGACTCGTACTATGCGCTCCGCATGCGAAGTGGGAACGAGCTGCGGCGCAAGCTCCACATTTCGTTTACGGGGGAAGAAGGCATTGATGCCGGCGGCGTCACGCGCGAATGGTATACGATCTTGGCGCGCGAGATTTTCAACCCCAACTATGCGCTGTTTACGTGTGCCGCCGACTCGCCGACGTTCCAGCCCAACCCGCTGTCGTTTGTGAACAAGGAGCACTTGAGCTACTTTGAGTTTGTGGGCAAGGTCATTGGCAAAGCGATTGCTGACGGCCAACTGCTCGACGCCCACTTTACGCGATCGTTTTACAAGCACATTTTGCAGCTCCCGCTGTCGTACTCGGACATGGAAGCGATCGATCCCGAGTATTACCGCAACTTGCATTCGATCTTGGACAACCCGATCGACGCGCTCGGTCTCGACTTGACGTTTTCGATTGAGCACTCGAACTTTGGCAAGGTGGACGTGGTCGACCTTGTCCCGAATGGCCGCAACATGGCCGTGACAGACGACAACAAGCTCGAGTATGTCAAGCTCGTGACGCACCACCGCATGGCGACGGGCATTCGGTCGCAGATTGACGCGTTTTTGACGGGGCTGCATCAGCTCGTGTCGCCGCAACTGATTTCGATTTTCAACGAGAACGAGCTGGAGCTGCTCATTTCGGGCATGCCTGAAATCGACATGGACGACTTGAAGGCCAACACGGACTATGCCAACTACAAACCGACCGACCGCGTCATTCGGTGGTTTTGGAACGCCCTGTACGCGTTTACGCACGAAGAGCGCGCGCTGTTTATCCAGTTTGTCACGGGCACGTCCAAAGTGCCGTTGGAAGGATTCAAAGCGCTGGAAGGCATGCGCGGCACACAGAAATTCAACATCCACAAGGCGTTTGGGTCGAGTGCGTCGTTGCCGACTGCGCACACATGGTACGTGGTCGCATGTCGAGGGTGTGCGTGTCAATGTTTTCGTGCGTAGCTTCAATCAATTGGACCTGCCCGAGTACGAGAGCGAGGAACAGCTCAAGTCGCGCCTCGTCCTGGCCATTCGCGAAGGATCGGAGGGGTTTGGATTTGGCTAACGTTGGCCGCCACACACGATATGAATACATTTGCATTTTTGGATTTGGGTCGACCATGATGGCGGCACGATGGTAGTCGGAATCAATGGCGGCGATCCATCCGCGACTCTTCTTGGTAGCTAAAGTCTTCAAAGTGGTTGGGATTCGTTCCGTCTCGAGCCACGGGCGAGTCCAACGCAGCCATCGTTTGAAACTGCGGCGGCACGTTGGTCACGTCATCGGCGCTCGACACATCCGGGACAAACGACGGCGCGATTTCCTTGCGCAGCAACGCGTCCCAATCGATGGCGGCAAAAAACGCGTCGGCCATGATGTCCCGTCCGCCGCCGACGCCGCTGCCGAGGCGCTTGCTCGGGTCGCGAACCAACAACCTACGCACACACACCGCATCAAATCAAAAATTTTCTACGCGGCGGGACACGCACTTTGCAATCAGGGTGCGCGCGACGGAGCTCAGGTACGGCGGATACACCACGTCGCTCGTCATGATGTTTTTAAACATGACGCGGCGATTGCGGTCGACAAACGGCGTGCGGCCCGTGAGCATTTCAAACATGAGGATGCCATACGACCACCAGTCGACCACCTTGCCGTACGGCTGATGGCGCAGCAGCTCGGGCGCCATGTACTCTGCCGTGCCGCAAATGGTTTTCATGCCGCCTGGACGCCACACACGCGTATCACGACTCGACCTGTCCATCATCGAGTAGTACCGTGCGCTTGCGACGCGCGAATCGCGCCGTCGACGGTTTGCCCTTCCTTCGACAGTCCAAAGTCCGTCAACGCGATGTGCCCGTCCGAGTCCATCAAGATGTTTTCGAGCTTGAGGTCGCGATACGCAATGTCCTTGGCATGCAAATGCATGATGGCCGTCAGGAGCTGCGCCATGTACAGCCGCGTCCGATCTTCCGAGAACCTGCCCACGACGACACTGTGTCAGCACGACCATCAACAACAACGAGCCGCCACACCGTTTGGATTTTTTCAGGTGAAAGTACAGCGACCCGCCGGGGTAATAGTCCATGACAAGGTACAGCTTGTCGGGGTTTTGAAACGCGTACCGCAGGCGCACAACGTACGGGTGGCTGATTTCCTTGAGGATGTGCTGCTCGGCCTTGGTGTTTTCGACCTGGTCGTTCTGAATGATGTGCATCTTTTTGAGAATTTTCATGGCAAAGATCGCGCCGGCATGTTTGCCCCGCTTCTTGCGCACGAGCATGACCTTGCCAAACGCGCCGCGCCCGACAACCTTCATCAAGTCGAAATCGTCAATGCCGAGGGGTCGGTCCTGTTCGCGCTGGACCATGCGTTCATAGTTGGCACGGTTTGCAGCGTGCAGCGCGTCCATGTCGGACGGGTCGACGCGTGTCGGCGGATCCAGGTCGCGGGACACGTCGCGATCGGCCGATCGGTGTTGGTGCGGTGGGGCTTCTTGCCGGATCGGCCGGCTGGGCTGCTTTTGTAGGGACATTTGCAGGTTGCAGCACGCCAGGCACACTCGCTTGGCTTCGCTAAACCCTGGCAAGAACAACCGATCCGAGCAGCTCACGCACACGGCGCGCAAGCACATGCGGCAATACCGTCGGCGGTGCAGCACAAACGTGCAATTGCACAGGTAGCACCCGTGGTCTTGGGCCGGCGGTTCAGGTGCAGGTCGGTTGGCCGTTTTGCGCAAGAACGAGTCGGTGCGCGCGACAAACGGGTCGTGCACCCACTCGAGGGTGAGCTCGAGCTCGCCATTGCCATGCTGCGCGCTCAACCGCGGCGCGTCGTGGCGCAGCGAAAACCACTTGCGCCACGGGCGATTCCACCCAACGTCGGCGAGCGCAATCGACACGCACCCGACCGTCGTGCTCAGCGGAAACGCCTTGTCCTTGACCTTGACCAACACGGTGGCATTGCTGTCCGTCACGGGGAACGAAAACGTTTGGTTCCACTCGGGATCCATGGTTTTTCTGTGGTTGCCGACCGTCTCCTTCTTTTGCCCAACGCACGTCACAACAGCGTACGGGTTGTTGTATGGCTGGCCCGTCAGCCGCGCTCGGTTCACCGTGACCACGAGTTTATTTGGCACGGTCGCGCGGATTGCGTCGAGGGCGCCGTGCAACCCGCTCGAGATGGACTAGCCCACGGTCAGTCGTGGTGGTGGGGCGTTGGGGTCGACGAACCTTGAGAAAGACAAACGTGGACGATTGCACCGAATGCAAAAGGGACGCCGAGCCGGCCGTGCTGTTGTCGCTCGAGCCTCCTCTGCCCACAGACAAGGTCGAGCAGAGCCGGGGACTGGCATTGCTCAGCAACTGAAACATGGGCTCGGACGACGGCTCAAAGTGCACGCCACGGCGGGCGAGCAGCGATTGCATGTGGTCGGTCTTGTGTGTCCGAGGAGGAAGCACGTTTGCTTGGGGGGCATCGATGAACACAATGCCCCCGATGCGCGACTACACAGATTCAAGATCATGGCGAGCCACTCGAGAGAGAGACGTACATAGAGTTGGGGTGGGAGGGTCGACAGCAAGTAATTGACTAGAAGTCCTGACGTGTCGTATGCGATGAAGTGGATCTGGTTGGCGGCGGAAGGTTGAATGTACGTGCTCCAGACATGCATCACGTGCTCTTCTGGCGAAGACGAATGCAAAATTTTGACCGGATGGCCTTGCACGTGCATGCGATTCGTGCTGGGATTCATGACAAGGACCGAATACCCGCATTTCTTTGCCGCTTGGATGTACGGGATCAACGACATGCAAGCGAGGGAGTGGGAGAAGGCTTGCGGTGGGGAAGGTAGACCCGGCGACGACGCTGGTTGCTGCGATGTCGGCGGGATAGACCACAATCCTGGCGTGACCCCCGCTCCGTGCTGCATGAACACGCACATCGTCGGGTTGACGCTCCAGTCATGGGTGACGAAGATTGAGCACCGAGCTGCTGCTTTTGCCGCAGGAATGAATTCTTCGTGCATGTGCAACTCCCCGCACATACGCGATTGAATCAAGCCAGTGACTTGGCGGATCTCAGCCTGGATAGCACGTTGATTCGAGTGATCCATCTTCATTCACGGATCGCGGTGCTGGTCGGCACGGCGGCAGAGTTCGACTCGTCGGACAACGACGCACAGCAGGTGATCGCGCTGTCGATGAAATACGCCAAGGTGCGATACCCGGTGCCTACCCTTTTACCGCGAACATGCCGGTAGAAACCCCGTGCGCTGTCTCTAGTAGTACTTTCGTCATGTGCCTCGATCCCATTGAATCCCGCGGGTTTGCATAGTAATACTACACCGAGCTATTTCCGGACGCCACGCGTTCTGATTGGGAGGTCGGGCCAAGGGTTATCCGGATAACCTGTGGATGGAATACCCAAATTCGCATCATCGCAGTTGACCACCGCACACGACCGACGCGCAGCACGATGGTGGAAGGCGCGTCTGTGGACGTGAGCCACATCTCGCAGCGGCTGCATAGTGCGATACAGGAAAACGACTGGCAGACCAACAAACAGGCCGCAAAAGATCTCTCGGGGTTGCTTGCCGTACTGACCACGTACACGCCGGATCCGATTACGATGCGCGAGACGCGGATTGGGGTCGCCGTGAACAAGCTTCGAAAACACAGCGATGAATGTGTGAAAGCATATGCGTCGCGACTGACGGAAAAGTGGAAGGCTGCGCTGGACGTGAAATCATCGTCGTCGTCCAAGGCCAAACCAGCCGTGGTGACAGCCGCGTCGTACACCAAAATTCCAGAGGTAGGATGCTTCCACCGCGGGGTGCCTTCCGTCTTTTACATGTGTGAACACGTAGACAACGAACGATGCACAGAAAGGGGATGCCGCGAGACTTCGGGTGCAACAGGCGTACGCGTCGGAGCGAGCGAAGAAGGACTCACGAACGAGCATTTTTCTCGACCAGCCCATCGTCAAGAAAGTCCGTGGTCGAAAGGTGGTGCCCAGTACCACCACCATCACGCGATTCACGAACCCTGAGCGTGCAAACATGACGCACAAGGTGCCTCGCGCGGTCGCCCCCAGCTCGCACAGCAGCAGCGCCACCACTGCTTCTGCGAGTCGCGCTCGTCCGCCTTCGACATCTGACGTCGGCGTCCCTGCACGACGCCCTGCGATGAAGAGCAGTCAATCTGCAGCTTCAAATGCCAACACAATGACGTAAGGTCCATCCCTTGCTTGAATGTCCTGATGGACGCGTGAGTAGTCCAGACGAGTTACGCCATCATCAGCGCCAAATGAAGCTGCGGGCGTTGGCTGAGCAGAAAGCGCGAGCTACTGGGAAAACGGTGCCGTTTGCTTCAACCCTGGACACCCCGTCTGCAGTCGCATCGACCAAGTCGGCGCCAGTCCCATCCAAGTTCACCGCGATCAACCGGCAAAAGCCGTCTGGGACGTACGTCGACAAGCGCAAGATGAATTCATCGTCGTCGGCAACGTCGGCGTCTTCGAAACTGACCCCCGAAGAACAGAGCCGCAAGGAGCTGCTCAACAGAATGTACCCACGAGCGGTCGGGCGGCCGGACCCGAACACGAACCTAAAACAAAAGCGCAAGCGAGATGAAGAGCACGCGTCGTCCACGGCCGCCCCATTGCAGCCGGGCGAGCGAGAAGTTATGCACTGGCTCAAGGGGCTTGCGGAAGGTGACATGAGCCAGTATGCGCAAGCATTTTTCGACAATGGGTTCGACACGATGAAGCTGCTCTCGACCGTGACTGACAAGGACTTGGCAGCAATGATCCCGAAGCGCGGGCACTGTCGAGTCGTGGAAGCGGCGCTGCAGTCCCTCACTCGACGACGCAAGCCGCCAGAGCGGGTGCGAAAGAACTCCATGCGACGATCGGTATATGACGAAGAAGAGTACGACACGGACGACAGCTTTGTCGACAACGACAACGACGAAGGGTATCGAATGGGCCCGATCACGGCCATGATGATGAAAAAGCGAGGAAAAGACTACCGCAAATTCAGCAGCGCGTACGATGACGACGGCGACTCGTCCGACATGGAAGCGTCGTTTGACGAGATCCAGCGCGAGGAAGACCGCAGCGCCAAGTACGGCGACTACGAGGACGAGGTCGAGGACCGCCGCAATCGCATTCACAAGGCAAAGAAGCAAAAACGAAAATAGACCGACGACGACACATGGGCATAACATGGTTGAGCATCCATATCATTACTCGTTCGTGGCTCAGGGCTTGTTGTGTTTGAACTTGTCGGTGGCGCGCACCAATTCGGCAGCAATGCCGGGTTCGCCCGCGGAATGGCCCGCCGTTTGCACCACGCGGAGGTCTGCTTCCGGGAATGCCTTGTGGAATTCCCATGCAGTGACCATCGGGCACACGACGTCGTACCTACACATGCGTGAGGTTCCTTTGGCGGCGAGACGGACTGGGACGTACCGGCCCTGGACGATGACGGTCGGGATGTGGCGGATTTTGTGCACTTGGTCGATCAAAAAGTTTGGCGTGGGGAAGAATCCTTTGTTGACAAAGTAGTGGTTCTCAATGCGGGCGAAAGCTTCGGCGAAGCGTGCATCGTTCATGGACTTGTCGACGGCATCGGCCGGGGGCTTGAGGTTGCTCGTGGATAGCTCCCACGTCGTCCATGCGAGCGCCGCCGCCAAGCGCACGTTCTCGTCGGGACTTGTAAGACGTTTGTGGTACGCCGTCAAGAAATCGTGGCGCTCGTCTTCGGGAATCGCATCGCGGTACGCTTCCCATCGATCGGGGTACAGAAAGTTGGCGCCGTGCTGCGCATGGCATGTATGTCAACATGACAAACTGGTTGAAGGTGGCAAGTACCTGGTAGTAAAATTGGATTTCTTTGTCGCGAATGTGGAAGATGCCGCGCAAAACCAACTCAGTCACGCGGGACGGGTGCATCTCGGCGTACGCGGTAGACTACAACGTCATGAGGGAAGGCCGCGTCATGTGCCTTTGGGGACGTACCAACGTGCTGCCCCATGAACCACCGAAGACTTGCCACTTATCAATCTTCAGGTGCTCGCGCAACGACTCCATGTCGGCGATCAGGTGCCACGTTGTGTTGTCCTCGAGCGATGCATGGGGAAGACTGCGGCCCGAGCCGCGCTGGTCCAGGGCAATGATTCTGTACACCGCTGGGTCGTGAAACCGGTTCATGATTGGAGTGCAACCTCCTCCCGGACCACCGTGCACAAGAATCACGGGCTTGCCATTCGGGTTCCCGCATTCTTCGTAGTACAACGAGTGCGTCTTGGACACTTGGAGCCGCCCCGTTTTGTACGGCTCGATGCTCGGGTACAAAAAGTCGTCGACCGAGCATTGAGATTTGTCGACCAAGTCCCACTTGTTGATCGCGTCGTTGGTCGTCGCGGCGGCCGAAGTGAATGCCACGGCACTTAAAAGCGCCGAGACGGCAATCAAGTTCGCCGAGGACTTGGTGGATGAAGCACCGAGCGGCAACGCGGCAATCGCTCCGCGTGGAGCTCTGCGGCCAATGACGTATCGAAGGGTCGACGCACCTTTGCGCAGCATGGGGCAAGTCAAAGAGTTTGCGGTCTCAAATCGCCACTTGGCCAACTTCAACCGATGCACACCTTGAACAACAGGCGGGAAAATCAACCAATCGAACACGCATATTTCACCCTTTTCGTAGTTTTATAAAAATCTACACAAAATCACGAAAAAGCGGTTCGACGAAGTGGCTACCGACCGTACTGTACACACCTACGTACCCCTGTGTTCTCACTTCCGCACTTCGCGTGCGGCAAACTGAGACTGGTGACCAGCGCTGTCTTCGATAAAGCAAAAGCAAAAGTACATTAGATCAGAGCTAGAGCTACCGGCTACTGACTACCAACCGCTTCACTTCGCCTGGTCGGCTTGAACAAACACTTCGGACCCTACTTACAGTATCGTACTGTACCTGGCGGATGTCCGAACCACCGCGAGGGCAACGTACTTCTCGTGGGCAACGATCCCGCGGGAACACTGCCCTCCAAGAGGGAATGCCCACCGCTTGCTCAATGTCGGCAACCAACGCCGACAACATTTTCATCTTGGGGTTCGCCTTCGCCCAGCGGCGAATACTACTGGGATGTTTTCATATAGCTGTGTTGCGAGCTGCCACGAGGCTTCGGCGTCATCCAGGCCGAGCCACTTGACCAGTACTTCGAAGCGGCCGGCGTTGGATCTCCTTGAGGGTCTCCATGTGGAAACCGCTGTCCCCGAAGGCACTTGTTCGAGGAGATCCTCGGCGACGTCGCTACCTACTTCAGAGTAAAGTCGGAGCCGGCTGGCATGGTGGAGGCTGATGTCGTGTGGGGGCAC